TGTGTTGCATAGATTGTATACCTGCTTATATGTACTACGCTGAGATGTTTGCATTTTGTGGCGAGAAAGCAGTATGACAGTATCAACTCCTGTTCTGTTGGGCAACCGCTATAACCCCCAAGGCCCTTCTGAAAGTAATTTGGGTAGATGATTCATTTCGCTTAAATGCACTAAGTTTTTCCCTGCTGAACTCTATGCTATTTTTAAGACTCTCCAATTCATGAAGCTTATTTTGAATTCAAATTCTGTCCTTCTGTGTATTTGCTGTACCTCCCAGCTTCACAGTTACATACACATTTAATAACACTATTCACTATTTCATCATCCAAATCATTAATGAAGACATTGAACAGGATTAGATCCAGGGCAGGCATTTGCGTATCTCCATATGACATCCTCCAAATTAGACTATGTACCATTGGTAACTGTTCTCAGGCACCCACTGTATGGTCATTGTACTTGTACTGTAGCATTTCTTTTTTTTTTTTCTTCTTATTCATATGTTCCTAGCATCCTTGTCAAATTGTTATACAAGAGCTTATGAAAGTATTAATAAAGTCATGAGATGTGGCAACTTCTGCTTCTGTCATGCCTGTGAATTCTGTTGCACTGTTGTGGAAGGAGTTAGTTTCCTTTTACGCAATGTGAAAATTAATGTGTATTCATGACAGATGCATGTCTGCTGCTGTTTTTTTTTTCTTTCTTTTTTTTTTTTCCTTGTCCTCCAGGCACTTGCTAACACTTTTTACTTATTCTATATTATTTACTTCTGGATACCGAAGCTCAACTGAATATACATTTCTGCTCCTTCCCCACTTTTTTTCAAATGGGGTTGACGTTTACCATTTCTCAGATCTCTCCTGTACTCTGAGATGAAAACTGCAGATAACAGCTTTGAGATTATTTCAGAAATCTTCTTAAATATTTTAGGATGCTGTACCTAATGTACAGGCTTTCAGCTAGCATCCTACTTATCTAAGCACTTTCTAAACTTATTCTTTCCCTTTACAGGTGGAAATTATACCTGTTTCATTTTGAAAATTATTGTGCTAGTCACCAGCACTAGAGCAGTCTTTTTCTTTAGTGAAAATTGATGCAAAAAGGACATATAACACTTAAGCCTTATTGACATCATCTCTTGAATGCTCTCTGTCTCCACTGGTTAATGGATCAATGTTTTCCATGTTCTTTGAATTATTAACAGATGATAACGTATGGTAGTTTTGTTTTTCATGTTCCTTGTTCAGCACCTCTTACCTCAGTCTCGTAAACATTTTCCCTGTGTGCTTGAGTTTGCCTTACATGATCTTTGTAGTGCTACCATTTTCCTACATTGCGTATGATTGTTCTTGGTGTTCAGCTAAGGTATTGATTTAACCAATTTTTTATTTTACTGTACTCATTTTCCCTCTGCTTTGTGGAAAAACACAATTGTGCAACATCATTGTTTCGAGGTTTGCATTTTTAGGATTCTGCTGTTTCTAGCGACGGAGGGACAGGGGAAAAACAGCGAAGCCCCACACTGGCACTGCTGTATTTTCTTTTGAAGAATTAATCTAAGCACAAGTTTCTCTATAATAAATGTGTGGCTAAATAGATAAATTCAACAAATTTACAAGTTGCAATTCCATCATGGCGTTAACTTTACCACTTCTCATTCAAAATGGTCACTGCTTAGATTTTTTTATTTCTTTAAATGCTGCTGTTAATTAATAGGTGGCATGACAGATGTACATTACTAGAATGCAAATGGCACTTAAAGGCTTTAATGGTCATCACTATGCACCCTTTTGATTATTTAGTTGTAGGCTTACAGTGTCAGGCATTTTGTGGAACATGGTTCATTTCTTGTTGTATGGCAACCTTATCTGTTGTTTTTCTGACTTAATTCTGATTTTGAATGCTGTATTTCTGTTACTTTGATATTTGAAATGTTTCTAAGTCTGCAGAAATTCAAGTCTATACCAAAGACCTTGGAATCTAATTTGTTCATTTATGTGGACTTTTCTGTTTAATTAATATTCAAACATTTAAATTAATGATCCATAACAGAAATACATGAGAGGGAAGAGTTTTGTGCACCAGCTGGACACAGTCAACAGCGCAAATCCTTGCTAAAGGGTGCTAGGGATTAGCAGGGTGGTGATGTTGCATATCCCAGTGCTTAGTGAGTTACTCCATTTGGGTGGGGGCTGAATCTCCACTTCCCATTTCTGGTCAACTTCCAGCTTCATAACTGCATAAATAAATGTGATTAAAGTGATTTAGGTATACTGAAACTTTATTTGTTGTGGAGAAACAGAATGAAGTATTTTAACTGCTACATTGCAAAATGAAAATAGCAGTTCCAGTAAGTGCAGCTCTCAAGTTACAGCTGCACTACAGTTTTGTGGTGTTTTCTCCCTGCAAGTTTGGCTATGCTGTCCTTGAAAATATTTTGCTCAGTTCTTCAATGTACTTTCTGTGGAGCTGTGTGAGCTTCACTCTTTTTAATTTAATCCATTTCTCTAAACTGCCTGTAGATCAAGTCATTTGTCACTGCCGTTAGTTATTTAGTACAGATAGTCTGTAGCCTCTGAGCTTCATAAAACAGGCAGATCTTTATCAGTAATCAATATTTATAATATTTGTTGATATAAATCTGTCATTACTGGCTCATCTTTTGAAGTTAATTTGAGATAAAGCACTTTATTATGGGACTAGTGACTGTGGTAGAAGCAAAAGTAACGGAACCACCAGAAGCTGTATCCTTAACTTTGCTGGCACATCAAAGTCAAAATGCATAGACCTGTATCCTCATGTGAAACCTAACTAATAAGCAATAGTAATGGAGAAGCTTAACACGTTCCCAACTTGCAAAAACCTCTTCATTAAGATACAGCAGCTGTTTATTTTCAGGACCACATGGTCTAGTCAGCATGATAAGAACACAGTGACTATGGATCAGCAAGCTTACTTTTACTGGAAAATACAGGCATCTTTCTTATCTGCTCTAATGGGTTAGTATTAAAGAAGAGCCGGAGTTAGGAGAATAATTAGAGTAATTTTCCATTTATTTCTTCCCAGCCTGCCTCAGGCTAGGAAGGTCAAATGGATGCTAAAGAGGAAAACTGCATCTGGAACTAGTCTGGAAAAAAAATATGTATCCTAGGAGCAGTGCTCTGTACAATTTGCTTAGTCTTAGAAAACTAACTAAGTTTGTCTGCCAGTTGATTGCCTGCTTCATCTAAGAAATCTGCTTAGTCCGTGTGATTCTTAAAGCTATTTTTCTTCAGTTTCAAAATCTGAGAAATTTTGAATTAACTATTTCCCATTTCTTGCTTCTTTCAGCTTTCTCTTTCACATATCAGTCATATTATTCACCAGCTTCCTTTGGCTGGTTTGCAGCTAGGAGGCTTTTCGGTGACAGAGACAAGCTCTCGATTTTCCCGCTATGCAGTGAAACTTTGACAGCCTGCAAATCTCAAGGCAGTGCCTAACATAAAATAACATCTGACTCTATCATTTCCTTCCTTGCAATTCAGTGAGATGAACTTCAAGATCTTGCATGCTTTCTGGGTAGGGAAATCTCTTGTAGCACTGTGGTTGTCAATCTATTTATATTTATCTTACCTGCTTTAATTCATTTCTAATGCAGTCATTGCTGTGATTTCTTGGCATTGCACATCTGGCTATAAAATATTCTTCTTGGGTAATTATTTTATTTCAAGACCTTGAAGCTTGTTCCCCTGGTTTTGATCATCTTTCATCCAAGAGTTTAAGGAAAGCAGATAGTCATGTATTCATCTGTTTGCTTTGTCCAGTGGTCTATAGGAGCCCATCTGATCTATCTGATGGCACCATGTTTCTACGTTAATCTAAAGTCGAACACAGTCAATAGTAGACTTTGAATTACTTTGAAAGAAAAGGTGTCTAACTCCTTCCCTGGCTTTCTACTATTCATCCTGTCCATGTGCACTTTTCTGAAGTGTAGTCTCTTCTGATCAGAGGCAAGGGAAACATTCTCATTGAAGAGGCACAGGTGGCTTAATAACTGTCTTTACTGAAATAATGGAATAATTGCTGTAGCTTGAGAAGGTGCTTTTAATTTATTGTACTGTTAAGGCCTTCGACGTATCATACACATCAGCTGACATATATATTCTGTTATTAATATTGAGAGAAAGCATATGATTTTTCAGTTTCAGCCAAAAGAGGTGCAATACATGGGGCTGTCAGGTCACAGCGTAAGAATAACAAGAGTCAATACATGCTTTTGAAGTGAGTGTTATTCTATTGATTTTTCAATAGTCCAGCTATCTTAAAATCAGTTTTCAGGACAAGGAATTAGTTCCAGTCTTTAAACGTATGTTGGTTGGTCTAAGCTATATGTACAGCATCCTTTTAGGACATAGAAGCTGTGAACCCTGCCTTTATGTTTCAGTTACTGCTTCAGTGTTCCTTCTAGTCAGGCTTATACATATGCACTGTTTGCAGAGACAATTTCATTGTTGAAATTTCACTTTATCTTAAAGTAATATTGAAAACATAACATTTTTCATGATAGATTTGAGAGTATCATTTGGCTTCTTTGCCCTGTATCAAATAGCAGAGTGCTCAATGCCTGCGTGGTAGTGATGAGAACTAGCCTCACCTTTTGAGCTTTCAAACAATCTAACTTGCAGAAAGTATGGTTAAAAAATGAAAAGAGAGACGATTTCTTTTCTGTTGAAGCTCTGGAGGGTGTATTGATTGGAGGCACTTGAACAGCAGTGCCCATTGGGTCTTGTTGGGAGACTTGCGAGATGAATGACTACACAGCAGTAGCTCTTTAAAATGGGGAGCTTGAATTGGAGGAGCGAGCTCCTAGTAAGTGGACAACCCACACTTATCCTTAACCTCAGAGTTTGATTTTACTGGTACTTATGATTTAAAAAACAAAACAAACAAAAAAAGCACCTTTATCTTTTCTGCGGTTTAAAAAAAAATCATCACAATTTTTTTCTCCTCTCCTTTCACAGGTTCCAACTATGGGAGTCCCCGTCCAGCTCATGCCAACATGAATGCCAATGCAGCTGCAGGGCTTGCCCCAGAGCATATCCCTACTCCAGGGGCAGCTCTGTCCTGGCAAGCTGCAATTGATGCTGCCAGGCAAGCCAAATTGATGGGTAGTGCTGGCAATGCAACAATATCCACAGCTAGCTCCACGCAGAGAAAACGGCAGCAGTACGGGAAACAGAAAAAACAGGGTACCACCACAGCTACACGTCCTCCCCGGGCACTGCTGTGTTTAACACTGAAAAATCCCATCCGGAGGGCATGCATCAGCATCGTCGAATGGAAATATCCTTTTTGATGTTCTTATTTGGAAAAACAGCAACTTGTTAGTGTGTGTCAGGTGCTACTCATAAGTATGAGGAAATCAATACATTAAGTGGAAAGGCACCACTGGGAATGTAAGGTATATGAGTAGTATCTGGTATTTTAACTGAGATTATTTATGCTGGGGAAAAAACATTTTGGACTGAAGCTGTAACCATACCCATGTGTATGAAACTGCCAGAAGCTTAAATGATAATGGTTAGGGGCTGAATTCTACTCTTCTAAAAACATGTACCTGTAGCTTAAATCAGTGGGAGATATGTGAGGTATCTGAAGCCAGTTAAACTAGGAAGTAGGGAAGTAGAAAGTAGTGAAAAAGAAAAATAGCTAAAGTAATCCTGCCACATGCTCAAATGCAGTATGAGGCCAGATCTAGTAGGCTGATCAAGAGACAGACTGTCACAGATGATGGATGACAACCACTGACACAGAACTGCAGAAGGCAAGGGTCAGTGCTGCTTTCCTGGAAAGTCAATGAGAGTTTGGCTGTTGGCTTCATCGTGTGGAAGGAGCAAAGTCTTTTTAGTCAGCCAAGGCTGATCAACAAAAGCTGGAATTTGTATTTCACAGAAAATTCACAAACTGAAATAAAAATATACCTCCCCTGCCTCCCCAAAGAGAAACCAAGACTGACCCTGAACCGTAATCATCAGTAAATCACAAGCTAATGGGGTTCTTCAGTAAATGGAAAAGTATTGTTAGGGGTAGATAAGCACTTCAGGGAAAGGCCGTACAGAACTCAGCAGTAGTTAATATGTTAAAAAAAATATATAAATACTAATTTAAAAAGCCATTTAAGACAATGTGATAATATTGTTCCTTTGGGGATCTGGTGGGACATTATAAAGATGTAAGCAGAATATGATCATATTAGGTCTCACTGACATGGATATCTTTTTTCAGAAGAACAACTTGTTAAAAATACTCTTGTCAATTGTTAGATATCCTTAAAGTTCCCATCTGCCTATTCCTTTCTTCTGATGCTAATTTTTAATCCCCTTGATTAAGGTTGCTACCGTTCATCCCTTTTGGCATAGCTCTCATACTTTAAGCATAAGATGATGGATGATGACTAACAGGATGAAGCTGAATATTGGTTTACTTGCCAGCACCCCAGTAACCATGTCTTTAGAGAAAGAGCAGAGTGACATTTGATAAATGAATAAGATCAGCAATGAACGATGGGAATGATGTGTTGTAAACCAGGATACAGCACTGCTGAGATCAAGAGGAGGGCCAAACAATGTGATTAAAGCAATCCAAAGATGCTGACGTTTGCATTTTTTTGTTTGTTTGGTCTTAGGTGAGTTGGTGGAAATATTTTTTCATCAGAACCTCTCATTGGATGTACAGTATTTATAAACATGAAGCACTTCAATGACAAATAAAAATATCAAAGGGCCGTGATAAGATTTAATTTTATTCTGTACACAGACTTTTCCTAATTGCTGAAAATTACTGAGAAAAACTTAGCTTAATTTTCTGAACCTCTGAAATCTAAGCACAGTAGATATTAAATATCAAATGGCACTTCTATGGTGTTTCATACCCAAACATTATAGTGTTAAGAGCCTGAAAGCACAATTGCATGTAAGAAAAAGTGAAATGAAATAATTACACAGGTAAATCTTTGCAAAATATGTTTTTATTCTGCTGGATTTGCAGTGCACTTACAGTTTTTATATCACTGTATTTTTACAATGTATAAAGAGACTAGAAATGAAAAATAAACACAAATGCATAAACAGTAATAAGCTTATGGATAATATTCCTGTAAGGAGAAAAAAAAAAGTAGGCAAAAGGCAATTAAGAGAAAGAAAGCCTATGGACATTGAAGTCTTTATGCAGTAAGTACTATGTATTGAACCTGAGGTACATGAGAAATCCCATTGATTTCACCTCTAATGTATCTACCCAGATCTGCAGATCTCTGAGGTTGCCTGGAATTTCCCAAGACTGTCTGTGTAGTTGTCACTTTATCCTTTTATTTGTTCTGGCTTCTTATTTGACTACAGGCCATAATTGCCACAATGACATATTGAATTAATCTCCTTCTAGAAAGGATCCTACTTGTTGTCTTCCTCCTTGTTATCGTATATCTCATAGAATTCATAGGCTTAAGCAGGGTAGTTCAGTAGGTTTTGGAAGCCTTTGGCTCTTCCACTTGTGAAATTCAGAATGTATCTGAGCAGAGGTCAGGTGCCTGGGGTTTGTCTGTATCTTGCAGTTCAGGCTGCTGGACATCCTGATCTCCAGTTCATTCTTGCTAAAACCTGCTGAGAATGGTAGTCTGCTGACCAGAAGCATGCATACTCTGTTGACATTCGGCAACGCTGCAAAACCAGTCCTGTGGTAGATAAACTCATGCTCAAACACACTCTGTGTCATGGAGTGCACTACCTGGCTTTCTCCTTGTCCTCTCCTGCTTTTCATTCCCCTCCAGAGTACTGGTGAGTTATCCCAGAGCTAGCCTACAGGATATTCTTGCAGGCAAGTAAATATAGACAGACTGTAAATTTGGTCTCTAGTCTGACTGGAGATACTTCACAGCTACTAAGGTTAAGAAGTCCACACACACACACACACACACAAAAAATAAAAAATAATACAGTGCCAGCAAACTGAAGTCAGTACAAAAATGTCCTTTGATTTTTCCATAGACAGTGGGACAGCAGAGGTTGTACAGGGTTGGTTTGTTGCACATCTCAAATATTGTTTTTGATTTTCAGGGGTGGGTGTTTTTTTTTTTTCCTCTCCTGAAGGAGGTTGATGACAGGATACAAACACAAGAAAAAGAAGTACTACCTCAAATAATTTAAGAAAAAAAATAATAATATGTGGCTATGAACAATATAAGCACACTTTGGATAAAACCCATTTTATCCCCTTAAGTTTTATTATTTAAATATCTTCTAGCAGAATGTGTACATGTATTTTTGGGCCCTTGCATTTAACTTTGAGATATGAGAGAGTATGAAAAAAGTGTAAGCTTCTATTAAAAATTACTTCAAGGTTTGAAAACGCAGATGGAAAAGACACGGAGAAACTAATTGTAAGAGGACAGATGATGGTCCTTCCAGAACAGGCTTCTGTTATTAAAAATAGTACAGCCACACTTGAAGGAAAATAAGGAAAATGCTATCTAAATAAATAAAAGAAGAAAAAACTTTTAAGAAATCTGTGTTTACTCTGGCACGCGACTGGCCTACACTGCTTTTGACATATTAGGAAGATTCTTGGCTGGGAGCAACTAAAAGCACTTAAAAAGGCATATGTTTCTTTTCAGAATATAAGGGGCTTGGAATGTTTTCTTTAAACAGAATTCTTATAAGTCTTTTTTTTTTTTTTTATTTGTGTGCACATTTCAGAACAATTTCCTTAACTCCATTCCTCAGACCATTTGAAATAATTATTTTACTGACTATTTTTGCCAATTGTGTGGCCTTAGCTATCTATATCCCCTTTCCAGAAGATGATTCCAATGCCACCAATTCCAATCTGGTAAGTCCTTGATGGTGTCTAATCTCATTACTTTGAAAGTCCTTTTTAGAAGTCACCAGAGAGACTGTTGAAGTTACAGAATGTAAATATATCCACCAAAGATGATAACATAATGAAGTAAAATTTGGTTTTGAGTGCTCAGTCTCCTCTATTCATGTGAGCACCTGTTTCAGTTGAGCTGGATTTAGAAAAGATTGTTCCAAAAACCGCGCGGGTGCTGTGCGTGATGTTTTGGCTAGCGAATTCCTGCATGTTGCAAAAGTGCTTGGTAAGTTAAAACTGCAGGTGTTTGTGGAAGAAATCCTTTAATTACGGATTATATCGTGTTTTTGTTTTACAAAGTGCTGTTGTGAAATTGATACGGTTCTCCTGTCAGGTGATGCATGGGAGCACAGCCTGATGACTAATTTCTGGGAAGTGTGTTAATGCTTGCATTTCACACTGATACACGTCTTGTTGAATGTTTTTTTTTTCCTCTTGTTGGGATAATACAGTTTTTCCTGTGTCACCACGGATGCTAATACTGGTACTTTAGGACAGAGCATAGTATATTTACCACAGATAAAGGGGAGAGAACGTTTGCTTTTGGCATAGTGCGAAGTCATAGCAAATAATTCTGTTCAGTAAGGGCACAATGCAAAACAGTTCTGGAATGCTATTCACTGAATTAGCAGAAGACATTTTTCTTCCCCCAAAACACGTGGACAAATCTCCTACTTGCGCAGTTGGATCATAATGAAAGTTTATTCCCAGGGTTTAAGAGTTGGGATGCTATTTCCTGATTGAAAATGTATCTAGGCATTAGAATTTTTAGAGCAACAGAGAAGGGAGTAAGAGCCATACTTACAATGTAGGGATAGTTGGGGTGGCTGACAGACATTATAATTGAAATGATCTATGCTGTTCTCTGTAAGAAAGTAATCTGATTATATATCTCTTGAACTTGCATAAAGGAAATTGCAAACTTCAGGACTTCTTTGGATCTTTTTTTTTTTTTTTTTTTTTTTTTTTAACCTTAGTGTAGTGCTTTTCCACTGTAACTTTTTAAAGGTGTTTAAAAACAGTAGCAGGAGGAGATAAGAATTGTTAACTTATTAAATATTCTCTATATTTACATTTAATTTCACACCCATACTATCATTTTTATAAAGAGAATTTGTGGTTTGTTGTTTCTTTTTTGCTGCCATCTCTTTGCTAGTTTGACACAGTGTTTAACAATGATGAACCATGGTGTGTAAGTTTAGAACACCTCAGCATGGCATCTCTCAGAAATTAGTATATTTTAATAAAAACACAGTTTCATTTGATCCTCTGGCTATATGAAGATAATATGTTGATTGTTGCACATTCTGTCTTACAAGGTTGAAAGAGAAAAATGAAACAGAGTTGAAGTTTAGGGGAGCTCTAATTTGTCTCGAGTTTAATTGGGTGTGGGTATTACCTTGTCTCAGTGACTGCTAACTAATACTAGGTTGGAAGTGTGTTCAAATAACTTCATAATTGAATGAGTTATACTGAAACTTTTCTATTACTAGAAAATATATGCAATTTGTGAGCTGAGTTACTACTCTGAATCTGTTTTCCAAGGCATCTTTTGCATCTTTTATGTCATTTGGTTAATCCATCAAAACATTCATGTTAGTTGTGAGTTAGATTTAAAAACAAACAAAACCAAAACAGCCAAATTTACAATCTCAGGAGACTTTAGAAGTGTAATTGGTTTGAGGATGAGGAGGCATGGTTATCTTAGATATCTGTCTAGCTGTTTCATAGAAGTAAGGGGATAAGAAAGTGAAATGGGGGCTCTCTTCAGCTGCATTTTGTTCTTTGGATCTCAATGAAAAAGTGATTAAAAATGGTAAATGGGGTACTTAATATCAACTGGCCTAGGAGGGGTTTGCACTAGTGGAATTAAGACTCTGTTCTACATTATAGATCTAACCCTAGAGATCTGACTGCCCACTAGCCTTTGGTCCTGTGATTTGAAAAAGGTGCAGATAACAAGATGTAACATGGTTTGTCCAGGACATTGAATTATGCTTCATGTTCCACTGAAGTTAATTCAGCATTATCTCCTGTTAGTCCCAGCCCTTATTTTATTTGATTTTTGCCTTAGGGTGTTATATGTATTGGCAGGTATATCCTGCTGTCAGGAAGTAAAGGTTTTGAGTATATCATTTACTGCATTACCAAACTGTTCACAGGACTGCATAGTGATCAGTGAGTAAAGTACTGAGCAATAGGGAAGGAAAGTGGAGGCAAGTGGATGTGATAAAGGTGTTGTTTTGTTGTTTCTTTTTTTTTTTTATTAAAAAAAAGTCTTGCAATGAGATGAAAGAATATATGAAACTCAGACTGAAAGGAAAGCTATTTTAGATGGCAAGAACTGCAGAAGAGAGAGGCCTTACTCTGATGTAGCCAAACTACACATGGAACAGACTAGAAGGAAGCTGGGGTTGGTGATAATTTCTTTAAAAAGTTGGTGCTTTTACAAAAGTTGCATGACTATTTTTTTCTACCTGTGAGCATGTATTTTGCAATCAGATGTTTTTTGGTATTTTGTAGCCACGAAGTCTAGAGCTCCAAAGGCTTTAATCTGAAACAGAAATGGAGTGTGTCTGCAATGCATGCATTTGAGTTAATAGTGTGTGCATATGTGTGTCTTGTGCAGAAACATGAGTTTGACAGAACATGTAGTGGCCCAGAAAAAACTTGCACTTGTGTAAGAAGTTGTTTCACTTCCATTTTACAATTTAATTCTTAAGCAATAAAGCCACCACAGAAATTCCCACATCCCTGGTTTCCTGAGCCATCCCTAACTTTCTGAGACACAGAGGAACCATCTACAGGAAGTATATGCTGGATAGTAACTGTTTTACAAGATCTGAATGTGACAGAACAACACTTTTCCAGTAAACTGACACTTTTCCCTTTGAGCCCAAAAGTTCCTCTTCTAAGGGTTCATCATAAATTTTCAAACAATGTTTTCTTTCAGGTCTGAGGTTTAAAAAAAAAAAAAAAAAGTCATTTTGAATAAGCTCATTGAGTAAAGGGTGGTCAGAGAACAGAGATTCTGAACTGAATGGTTTGTTTTCTTTGTGTAAAAGGAGAAAAATTATAACGAAGTAAAGTTTTGATGAATAACTATAATCTTTGTCAGTTTCATGGATGTTATCAGCCATTGGTTCAATGGGGCGTGCTTATTGCTGTATGTCTTCCATAGGAGTCTTGAAGAGACATATACCTCATTCATGTGTACAAAAAAACCAATAATGTAGGTTCATAACTCCATTTGCATAAGCCTTGTCTTTAGATGCAAGACCTATTTGTTACTGTGCCATAGTAACTTACATAAGCATTGGAACTAAATACAGAAGTTTCCAATAAATAATCTCTTGTCTTTTGTGTTAGTGAGGAATTGTGATTAACTATAATGCATTAGAAGTTTAGGCCAAAAAACCACACACACACTGACTGTTCTTTTGCAATCTGACTTTCCATAAGAATTCCTATAAATTTTCAAGCTGCTTATATCAAGTTTAGGGCTGGTAGTTTAGACTCTCATTTTCAAGATGCGCATACGTATGCTAAAACCCAGATTTTGCATTTTTGTGCTTACTGGAGTTATTTCTGCCACTTGCTTTAAGAAATATGTTAGAATGATATCATGTAGTAATAACAAAAGCTTGAAATTGGCTTCAGCAGTTTTTGGTTTTACTTCTACAATGTGTTGTCTGGAAAACTATTAAACTTGCAGAAATGGAGGAGAGTCATATTAGGTGCAATGTTGTTTTGGTATTACTGAACTCTGCTGAGGTTTTGCTTAAATTTGCAAGTAGCAAAAGCTCATGCATGACCCTGTGCAAAGAACAATTTTGTATTCTCTTGATGCAGTCAGAAAAATTGGAGCTAGTTGGAGGGGAATTGAAGCTAGCCTGCATGAGAGGCTGTAACAGATATGGAGGCTTTCTGCTTGTTATCCCTGCAATTATGCATTAGAACAGAGATAATGTACATTTAGGAATAAAACTATAGACTGCCTGAGATAGGAAGCTGAGAGGAAAATGCCTCTGTCACTTTACTGGCAATCGCAAATGGCACAAGCCTGGTCAATGTCACAGCATGGCGATAACATAATGAGGTTAAAACCAAGGTTTACAGCACGTTCCATGGAAGGCAATTCAGTCAGTTGTTTATACATTGGATAAATAACAGGAGAAAATTCCTTGTGTGGTTTTGATAGCTCTACTTTCCCTTATCCTTATTACAGGAAGGAAACCCTTTTGTACAATAGTTAAGTTTAAAAAAAGATCTCCTGCATTTTTATGTCAGCTTATAATAGGGTGTCACCTTCAGACTAATTTGTTAAACCCAAAATAGGACCTTGTGAAAGGGAAGATGGGATTTGTGCTTGTTTGTCAGTGTTTGTGCCAGCAGGTGTTTGAGTGAATGCCTGCCTATGGAAAGGGACTTGCCTTCCAGGGAGCTGTGGCTGCTTTGGTGACTATGGTAGCATCCAGTTGAGTGGGCGATTCCTGTACAAAAATAAAAAAAAAATCAAATCTTTTTGAATTTGAAACAGACTGGCACGGTAGATGGGCATGTGGCTCTTGTATTTGTAGTTAATATAACAAACATAATGGCATAACAAACTTCATCATTTTCTGTATCGATGAGTTCTGAAGTCAGCATATGGAGCGGTTTGCTTGTAACCATTTCTCTTGTGCAAAATCAGAAAGTGTTAGCAAAATGGAGGTGAGGGGTCAAGAAAAGAAGGGATGTTTTATCTGGATAAAGATAAGGAAGAATACTACTCAAAAGCTTTTGGTTCTCTTCTGTCATTGCTATAATCTTCCCCTGTGACAGTTCCCAACCAGTGAGTGATAGTAATATATAGTATAGTAATAGTATAGGACTGTAGAGTAATAAAAAGTATAGTACTGTACAGTAATGAGATACGTTCACATTAGAGGTGAGGTGCAGGATGGGGTAGACTGGCT